CGACTGTCAGACGCAGAAATGCATCGCGACGAGACTCCCGAACTCGCATCCATCACAGGGAGTATCCTTTGGTTGGTGCGTGATTTTATCCGGGACGCCTTTGACATTGCCAGGCAGTTGAACAACTGATTTCTTCCTGGCGTGTCCGAAGCGACGGTGCCACAAAGTATATGGATCGTCGGGTTTGACCGACATTAATGTTCCTGGCTTAATCTCGCTGGTCCTGGTGAGGACTTCAGCTTCTAGCCAATATAAACCTGACGACTTTTCATATTCGCCCTCCATTAAAACTGTCCGCTGTGTTGGGTCTGACCCGCGGAGTAACTTAAACTTCTTGCCATCCATCTCAATACGGTGACCGTTATTGAGAGGCATTCTGGGCGCAAAGAACCGTTCTGCTGCTTCCGGTACGTATAATACGGTTTCTAACCGGATATGCTGAATTCGTCCATCTGTGAGAGGATGTTGCAGAGCGATTTCACCGTGACCTTTGATTTCGATAGTCTGACCTTTACCGGCCGTGTGTGCATGACCTGGCTTAGGGAATTCATGGTACCGAATAAAGTCAGTTTTGTACGGTGTGACATGTGTTGTGCAACCGCTGTCAACCATCCACTTAGACTTGACACCCGTAGCATAAAGAGAAACAGAGATAGATTCTTCCTCGATCTTAGCTACAAGTGGTACATCGACTATGCGTATCGTATTAACTGTCTGAGTGGTCGTCGCGGTATTGTCCTTCGCTTTGCCCTTTCCCTTTCCCTTTTTGCGCTTTCCGCCACCCTGCTGCTGCTGCTGCGTGTTGTTGCCGTTACCAGAACTCGAGCCAGAATTTGCCGGCTTTGTGTCCCAGTGCTGCTCTGTCGTGTGATTCTTTCGACCACACTTCTCACATTTCTTGTCTAGGAGGGGCGCCTTCGAGACGCGCGCAATCTGAGTGCGGTTCGCGACACGGCGCTGTTCCTCCTCGACGATCTTGGGCTTGATGAGCGCCGCTGTGAGCAGCGTAACATCAGTCTGCGTGGTGAGAATTGTACCAGCGATGGTCTGGTACGACTTTGGGAGAGTGTTTATCATGAGCAGGGCAAGAAGCTGAGGTTTTACTTCTATTCCCGCCGCGTTGACCTGGTTGGACTGCTCTGTGAGCGCGTCGAGTTGCGGGCCGAGCGCGGAGCTGTCAGAGAGCTGTGCATTGAACAGCTTCTGAAAGGCGACGAATGCGCCTACCGCTCCGGGTTTCTCGTAGCCGGCCTTGATCGCGGTCCATGCGTCCAGGGCCAAGAACTTGTCATCGACGAGATGACGAAGGTTCTGCGCGACGTAGAGCTGGATGATGCCCAGCGCTTTGTCATTTTTCTCATCCCATGCAGCTTGAGCTAGAATTTCCGTAGCCGTGGGTGTACCTGTTGCAGCTATTGGTCTGGCAAGACCAGGGACAGGAACGGTCGCTGTGGAGCCGTATCCCTGGATCAGGTACCAGACACCCTGGTAGCGTAGGAAGGCTCGGATCACGTCGGACCACTTTTTATAGTTGGTGCCGTCGAATTGCGGGATGGTAGATGTGGCGAGCTTGGTCGGGTCAGAAGAGGATGACATTGTTATCGTGTACGAAGAGGAGGCGAGTGTATGCGTAGAGTGTTTCACGTTCCCTTTGAGTTAAACCGACGTCGTAAAATAATTCACTGAGATCGAGCTCGTATGATTTGGCTCGTGTCGCTCGAAGTGATTCCCAATCTTCTTCCAAGAATGCGAGATCGTATGTCTGATTGATCGGTCTATAATATAGATCTTCCGCAATATCTTCCTGGTCGAGGTAACAAGCGTAGGGTTCCGAATATGTGTCGGAGCTTGTGGGGAAGAAGAAATGGATTACGTCTTCGTCGTGGTTTGTTAACTCTGCTGTAGCGTTATAGCTCGGCGGTTCTTGGACGTGTTTGAAGAAATAGAACGGAGTTAGCAACACTTCGACATATTGTTCGTGTGCTGTTAATGCTTCCCAGTCTGTTTCTATGTCGTCTATTATATTCAGTCGCTGTCTGAATTCTGCGACGGTTTCCTGTTTTGTCTCTACGGTTTCAGGTACCGTATTTGTCTCCTGAGAGGTAGTGATTGTGAACGCTGTTGAGCGAACCACTTATCCCAGCTAAGCCGATTTAGCCGAGAGGTGGATAGAGTTGGGATTGGACGAAGGGACCAGTTAAACTACGACGCTTGCTGTCGCTTAGGATAAACACACAGTAGTCAGATTTCCGAGTAGAACTTCTTTCTGATTGTTACAATAGCGTTGTATACAAAGTGTCTACTTGTTCTCGTAAAATCTAACCGCGTCAAAATATCCGTTCACGTAAACTGCGCTGAGCGCTTGTACAATCCAGGCTTTGTTCTTGCGTAGCCCTTTGAACGAGATATCCCCTATTTCTCTGCACCCTAATTCCCACTTGCGCCACTCCTCGTATTTGACGACGTTGCAGACGTCCGCTAGGCAACGCTTGATGCGCGTGAGCTGTTCGATGAGTCGGCGGAGATTGCAGACTCGGTCGGAGTTGAGATCGTCGAGCTCGAGAGTTTCGAAGACGTCGAGGCGTTTGAGCGTGCCGTCGAACTTCGGTGTGAAGATGCGGACGAGGTCGGCGGGAGTGTGCTTGTCGAAGTCGATGAGTATCGGCTTCGGGGCGATCGGTGTATGTGTTGCCGGTGGGATGGCAGCGAGACGCTGCTCGAGTGTCGGCTTTGACGGACCGGCGAGGATCCGTTCGCGCGCCTGTTGGATTTCGCATGCAGCTAGTCGCTGCTCGAAGTCGGCCTTGTCGGTTGCGTAGCGCTCGCGGAACTGTTCGCGACGTAGGCGCCTACCCTCATGTGAGTTCGGAGGGAACGGGAGAGTGAGCGCTGGAGTCGGGGGGCGTAGTTCTTTGCCGCGGCGTTTACCGTACGGGACGGTCTCAACGGGGTCGTTGGCGTTGCCGGAGGCGGGCGCGTAGCCGGCGGAGTGCTTGTACCGCTGGAAAACGGAGTGAGGGGGACGAGCGGGCAAATCCTTTGGCACTAGAAATTACGCAGGAATGAACGCGTGAGCACTCCGTCTGCCACTAGCACGCAACGAGACTTACTCGTAAACTGCGTGGATAAACTTTGTTTAAACTGGGTGAAGGGGACCGAGGTTTCCCGAGGGGTCTTCTTCAGCAATGAGACTAGTTGAGTGGGGGTAGAGTGGCCGTGAGGCCGGGGCTCATAACCTGTTAAAGTGCAACTGAACTCTTGCTTTATTCTGTGCTACAGGGCCAGTATATATACATGTGGGTTAGGACCTCTGATACTGCTATAAGACCTATGGTACTCCGAGCGTAAGCATGTATACTAAGCATGAGTAATCAGATGTCGTATTACTACAAGATAATAGAGGGATCATGTGATGATATCCCCATTAGTCCGTACAGGGCAATGACGTAATCGCCCAAGTTCTGACACCCATCTATGACCAAGACATCACACCAGAAGCAGCATGGGTGCTGCTGCTGAAACATGCATCTGCTAATTTTCGGGCAGATGTATTTATTCAGTATGCGGCTGATATGCCTTTCGGACTATTCGTCTCCTGGAAAGGATTTTTAGTGGAACGTCCAGCACCACCTATTAGACCAGATTGGTCAGATCTACGGACGCCGCTCGAGTTGGCAGATGGACAACGACTGGACAGCAATAGCCCGGGGAAATTCTCTCACTCCGTAAAGACTATCGGGCCATGCAACATTGTACGGAGTGGTAGCAACTCCGCAGAAGGCATAGTCATCGAAGTGCACTTCGAAGACGGCCGCGCACCCCCGCAGGTGCTCAAGCGCTGTACAGCCCATGGCGTTCTGCTACCCAATATACCCTACACTATCGTGCTTATCCCAGGAAACCACGTCGTTGTCGCCGAAACGGTCAGTAGTCGCGGTCAGAAGGGAGATAGGGGGCTATCAGTCGAGGTAGTGAAATGGGGCATGATTCGTATGGCGAGTATACGGTCGCTGACGATTCCTAAACTTGAAACATGGAAAAATGTGACTTACATTGACGGAGAGGAGGCGATGCAACGAAGCAGGTACACACAGCAGTATATGCAGGTGTTCAAGAAGATGCAAGAGCGCAAACAATTGTACATTTTCGGTGACTAGCGTACACATGTAAAGTAGGTGATAGATATTTTTATGGACTCTAGAGCGCACCGTCTTCGAGCAATATTTGAAGTGTTTATCATGGAAGCAGCTCTTAAGTCAATAACTTCTCAGGGGTGTCATGAAGTAATTTATAGATGACCTCCTCGCCGGTGTCATCGGTCATCGCTTAGCCAGAAGCTACGAGACTTACCGGTTCGCAGTAAAAGAGGGATCTACAGAATCACAATGGGTTGCGGTACCTGCAGCATTACAATGACAGAAAGGATAGAAACTGGCAGATCAGAGTAAGTCGATCTAAAAGCCCTCAGATGAGTGACCTCGTAACATAACTCACTACTTGATGACATAGAATACAGCTTGAAATGCACGATACATCAGCACTCGCATCATGATATCCCACCCTTCCTCATACCAGCACGGCCAAGTTCCCGCCCGCTGCTCGCTCGATCCCGCCCATCGTCCTCTCCCTCATCTTCTTAACCTCAGCCGTCTCTCCGGCGTCCTCGTCCTCATCCGTGTCTCCACCAGCCGCTTCATGACGCGCCCGCTCGACCATGAAGTCCGCGACGAACCGCGCAACATCCTGCTCACCGACCTCAGCCTGCGCACGAGGGCCCCAGCGCCACTCGTACACGACCGCCTCGTCGCCGCCGTTCCCGACCTGGGTCGCTGCGGGCGCACGCCCGCGCTTTTTCGGTCCGCCCTTCGCGTCGCCGAGCCGCTGCAGGTCCAGGTAGCCCTGCCGCACACACTGCCACAAGAACGCCTCCAACGTTGGTGCCGCATGTGGCAGCCGTGCGTTCGTCGGGATGGGCGTGTTCTGATTGAGCCGTAACCGACGCAGATAGGCCTTCAGGTCGTCTACAGCAAACGTGATTATCAACAAAGTGCATGTATATGTTGGGATATACTCACTGTCGGGCAGGTTGCGTCCGTGTACCAGGATCAATGACAAGATCACGTATAGGAGGCCGACAGTCCCTAGTGTATCTGCGTTCTCCCAGGCAAGGATCGCACCAGTGGGCTGCGACACGACATCATCTTCATCTCTGGCATGCTCTTCGTCGATCGCGAGGTCTGCTTGCTCGATCCGCAGGATGTCTGGGTCTGCGGATGCCGCAATTTTAATGAGTCTGGGATCGAGGGTCGACCGGAGAATGTACGTCTTCGTTCCCGTCGGAGCAGCTAGAAGTATCGTTAGCTCCAAGAGCCAATAAAGAGACCCACAATCATTGCGCACCTTTCTTCTTCAGCCCGGTCACGTCCTTCTTATCCTTCTTGTCCCTTTGCTGCGCATCCTTAGGTGGCTCCCTCTCTTCCACGCGATTTTGCAGCTCGATGAGCTCCATGGAGAACGTTTTTCGTAACGTTGCCTGTGCACGCATGTACACCTCTGCAAACCGACGCGACTTGGAGCCCATGACTGGGAGAAACACACGAGTCAGCTGTCCGAATGGCGAGACACGCACTTATGTGCGCACCTTTCTTCGATATTTCTTCCCTCCGCAGCGGCATACGCCTCTGCTCGTGGAACAACGCGAGCCGCACGAGGTCGTTCGCTTTCCTGTCCAGGTCCTGGGCGGCGTCCGCGCGTCAGCTCGTCGCCTGACAGGAGACCAGCGACCAAAGGCGTGAGCAGGGACTCACGTCATCGCCACGCCCCTCGTCCTCCTCATCCTCATCTTCAGCCTCGCCATATGCGTCTTCGTCGTCGCCGTCTTCTTCCTCCTCTACGCGTCGACGGCGTCCGTTCTGCGTCGGCGGCGGCATCTGCGACTGCGAAGGCTGCGGCTGCGCCGGCTGGCGCTGCGAGCGTGTTCCTGCTCGTGCCATCACCAAAGCTTGAGCTTGGCGTTGTCGATACGGATAAAGCGCCCCGAAAAAGCGCAACGAGACGGTGGTCAAGTCGTGAAAAGACGAACGCGTCCGAAATCGCGCGCCTGCCTTAATGGGCGTCTGAGCCCGTGGGAATCTTACGATGCGCGTGCGGATATTTGCTCAGATGATTGCTGCGAGTTCCGTACCCCCACGACCCTACCTGCCCATGGGCAGATTGGGTCTTTCCGACAAGTCGCCAAAATCGCCATAAATCGAGAAAAAATTATTGGCGGTGTCAGCGGAAAACCGGTGTGACGTGCGACATCCGGCGTGGTCGTAAAAGTACAGTCTCTGCAGCGGCCAGCAGTAAGTCGAGTTGAGCGCCTTCTTCCGACGAACCCGCGGATTGATTTGTGTTATGATTAAATATTACCGTAGTCGCTGCGAGTCTGCAGGAAGAGACACCGAAGCCATGGCCCTGCAGTCTACAATGGGGCGACGACATCCAGGCATCTGATTAGGTGCGAGCTGACCTAGGAGCCAGTTCCTGTTCGCTACGAAAGGTGCGTGAGATATGTGGAAGGCGATTACAGGCATGCTGCGCCTCAGCTAGCTCTGCATTACGTTTCGCACAGGTCGCACTATTCGACGGATGCCCCAGTTCAATGTCTATTGTAGACTGGTACGTGTCTCGCCTTCCTGCATTCAAGCCTCAACCATCTAAGGGCTTTGTTTCCGTTCAGCGCCTAGAACTGCTGACACGGTCAATTTGTGTCTCGTGCCATGTTTACAGAGCCCCTTGTTCGAGCGTGCCGCTGCTACCTTTAGAGGTATAGAAACGGTGCCGAACACTCGTGAGCTCGACTTATCTGTTAATGCTATTCCCACTCCATGTGGAAGAGAAGCAGTCCGTGGGTTTTTCTCTGCACAGAGTCGTCCCATTTGTGCAATATAGACCGCGGTGTATTGATGAAAGGCCTAAGTTGTGGACAAGCGAGATCGTAACACAGTGGGAAGACACGATCTAATCTGTAAGCCCATTGTGGTGTGGTCCCTGCTGTGCTGACCGACCGGCATATATGCACCACAGTCGACTCTCATAGCAGGTAGCATTCGCCCCATGTATCCCATCCTCAAATCCGTCCTTCTTCTCTTGGCGAGTATTGCTCTCCAGCTCGGCCTGACGCCTCCCACTCCGCCTCCTGAACGCAGCCAGAGAGTTGGGTACCGCGGGCAGCTGTTCGAATACGCCGTGTATCCGCTGCCACTATACCTGAGAGTGCGTGCACTTTGTCTATCCGAGTGGCCGCCGAGATTAATACCGCAGGGACGCAGGTCTTCGCGAGCATCGTCTCCGTCTTCCACGTCGCCGCCATCTTGCTGCTAGAATACGCCCAACCCGCTACCACAGCGAGGCTTCTCCCGCTCGTCTGCCCGGCCCCGAGCCCATCGCTCGTGCGCCTCGCCGCACTAACACCGCGCTTCACCACAGGCATCGCGCTCGTGCTCGCCGGCGCACTGCTCCGCGTCTGGTGCTATCGCGCGCTGGGCAGCCTCTTCACGTACGAGGTCGCGCTCAAGGCCGAGCATCACCTTGTGACGGGCGGGCCGTACGCGTACGTGCGGCACCCGTCGTACCCCGCGCTCTGGACGATGCTCGCTGCCGCGCTCGTCGCGTGGTATGCGCCCGGCGGGTACCTGCACGAGTGCGGCGCTATGGACACACGCGTCGCGCCGTTCGTGCATGCTTGGACCGCCGCCGCGGCATGCATCGCCGTTGGGCTGTGGCGGCGCGCGCCCGTTGAAGATGACGCAATGCAGAGTCAGTTCGGCACGGCGTGGGAAGAGTACAGGCGCAGGGTCCCCTGGCGGTTCGTGCCCTATGTCGTCTAGGACATGTTACGGCTCTCGCACGGTCTTCTTGTTCCGGCCTATTGTACAGTGCAAGTTCCGCAGAATGTTTGAGGCTGTACTACTCTAGTCTTTTCCGTTCTAGAGAGCATAGGCAACAAGCTGCCGACGGCATAATCTCACGTTGAAGTCTGAGTCAGCTCAGAGATCATAGTGTGGGACGTTAAGATCCGATAGCTCCGTCCCGGCCTCGATATTGAGTTGGTGACTTGTTCCTTCGAGATTATTCGTGAACTGTGGGAATCTCTACGTAATCCTGTATTTTTCAGAGTCACATGATCTGAGTCCAGACTTTCGCGTTCAATTTATCTCGATTTTGGCCCAGATTTGGTGCAAAGTTCCGTGACAAAGACCCAAAAATTACAACCCTTGCGGAGGACTGTGACGCGTGACGTTGCTCCCATTCAAACTCGTACAGTACAGCCAAGGCTCGCCAAACCGGCCACCGTCGCTACTTCGGCTTCTCGGCCGGCTAACACCTACCGACACTCGTTGCGCTCCATGGCCTACACTCATGGCTAATTCACACCGTCGCAACATCGTATGTCCACCTCTTGGTGCGTTATCTAGCAGACGTCTTAATTAGTCACCTCGTGCTTCGTATTCACGCGCCTGCACAGCAGCCGGAAGTGCGCCAATCAAGCTTGCCCACTCTCGGTGCTGTCTCTGATACTGCCACACCTACTCTCGTGTCCCATGGCACTAGCACTCACCCAGCCAATACAGGAAGCCCAGATTTCCGAAGCCAGATATTTTAAAACATAAAGCGGCGAAAAACTAACGGGATACATCGATAGCTACTGTCTATAGCTATAAATTGCACATGTTTTCAGGATATTCTGAACAGTTGTGTAAACTAGATACCGTAGCAAGTTTTTGGGCTCCAAGAGGTCGATTTTGAGCGTCATACGCTGTACAACGAACCTGCCCCGTTCCAGCTCGTTACTAGACGCGCGTTTTCGAACTGACCAATTTCTCTGACATACGAGTAGTCATGACCCGTCCCAGGTCAGCTCCTTGTGATACTCGCGCGTGCCGTCCCTGGTCTGAGCCGCGTACCCGGTTTTGATTAGCATGTGTCGCCCCCTCCGCTTCGCATCCTCGGAAACGGTGCATGCTCCGTGGCCCGCCCAGTGCCTCTTGTCCCGAACGGACCATACCCAGCGGGCGGCGCGCCTGACGCCACCAAGGTTCCCGGCGTCCGCCGTAGACCGGACGGCCGAGGGTGGCCGCCATGCTCGTTAGCCTTTCTGTCTTGTTTCGTCTTACTGTACCGAGACCCTCCTTGGGGTTCTCAAGAAATTTTATTATTGTAACTAGATTGGATCGCAGATTACTCTTGAGATCTTGAGACACTGTGCTGAGACAAGGTGTCTTCGGCACTAGTCGCCCCCGATCTTGAATTAATCATGCTTTGGCTTGAGTACCCCCATATCTCTTCCATTCTGTCCCCTTGTCCACATGTCACCTCCAGCATGTCTTCGATCGTAAGTCACTCCTTGTCGTGCGCGGTATCCTTCTTGCGTCAGCTATTCGGACAGCTCTCTCTCTTGCTCACGCGTTTCTCTGTCCGGGCAGAAGTTGAGCAGGGGATATGATCACTACCGTCGGATCACAGCGCTTCGGCTTCGACTGCGAAGTGTCCCTCAATGTCCTCCGTTCTATCTACTTGAGGAAACACCATGCTAAGACCTGATGACGAACAAGATGACGGTGGCGCAACTACCCGACTTCTCCAAGTTCATCTGGCACGCCGACATCGAGTCGGTCTCTTATACCACCCTCTCTCGGTTTCCTCCTGTGAAGCACCTCCCACCGTCTAAGCGCAAGCGCATCCTCGTCGCTGGCTTCGTCGGATCCCACCTTATTGACCGTCTCATGGCTCTCGGCCACGAGGTCACCGTGCTTGATAACTTCTTTACCGGTTCAAACACAACAGTGCGTCACTGGATCGGCCAATTGAACTTTGTGAGATGACGCGTCGTGATGTTGTAAAGCTCTTCATGATCGAGCGCGACCGTAAGCAGTTTGTCATCGAGATACACCATCATCGTGTTGAATTTGTCGCTCACAAAAAAGTGATTGCCTTGCATGCCCGGCGTCGCCGTTGCCCCCGCGAGAGCCTAACGGGCCTTTACCGTCCCCCTAGTGCTCCCCTCCTCCGGCCGCCTCGAACCTCGTCGTCCCAGGCGCCGCACGGTGAAGGCCTGACCGTGTGCGGCACACTGGCGCGCGTCTTCCAGTACTGCGTCCACGACCGCGTCGACGGCCTCTCGTCGCGCCTCGTGCCGCTCGGACGAGACGCGCCCGGTCAGTGTCGGCGGCGGCAAACGAGTGCATGGTCAGCGCGTGTGTTTCGCGGAGCTCGTCCGCGAGGTCGTCAAGAAAGTTCAGAGGGAGGACGGCCGCGTCGACGTCGTCTGCGAGCCGATGCCTGTGGACGACCCCCAGAGGCGCGGGCCGGCGACCACCCGGGCGAAGGAGGTCCTCGGGGGGCAGCTGCGCTGGACGGTGTGCATGGGTCTCGAGGAGATGGTCGGTTGCTACAAAGGTGAAGATGGAAGAGGGAAGCATTTACAGCGCACAGGAGATCGCGCTGCTCACAGTCTTCTGATTTTGTTATCCGCTGTACTGTGTTGAAGAACAATTGGTATAGATTGGACGATAAACAGACTATCCGGTTGAAGATGATATGCGGCAAGAGATAGAAGTACGGTTACGAGATACTTGCAGCGATTCGCAGCAGCTTCAACGGGCCACTACCAGTCGCGGACGGCTCCTCAGATCTTGAGAGCTTCCGGCCCGACGGCCCGGGTTTAAGCACTCATTTTCCCTCCGCGTCGAGAGTCCATTTTTAGGTACAGCTCGTCCTCAGACCCTTCCCCGGCCCCACTGTCCTGTCTGACCTGCGCTAACCCCGCATGCGGGGGAAAATGGCTGTGCCCGGGGAAACTGGGGAGAAATTTTCAGAGACTTTTTTTTTTTTTTGGAAGCGGACGTCGGTCGAAGTCGACTCACAGCCTCTCTGCGGCCGGCCGACGAGCAGGACGTTCGCGCGAGAACGTCAAAATGATGCTCGCCGTCTGCACGTGTTTATCTCGGGTAGTTGCCTTTCTGCGATTTTACTACATCTTCATGTCCCGCTTACGGTCGGTACCCGGAGTTGCTATTTGCGAGAAGCCAGCCACAGCGAATGCAGATGTGCACAGGATCAGCGAGGCACGAATCTCGGACCCTGGTGCCCTATCTATTGATCACTGACTCAGCAGCATTGTCTACTGAACGCTTGCTCTCTTGGACGGAGACCCGCAACACCGATAGACTGCTGGTCGCGTCACGCTCGCGTGAGCGTTCTTGCAGCGCAGACGCCTCTTGCGTCCCCCAGTCTCTTCTGGCGGTGTGTCTAGGCCTTTCTCCCTATTCTCTTCACGCTTGTGCTTCTCGTCCAGACGGGGGCAGGCGGTCTCCGGGGCCGTGTCGTTTCGCGCACCTCTTGGGGGCAAAGAAGATCCGTCCAGATTGGAATGCGTGCTGCGCTTTCGCCCGCCAAAGCGTTTTGCCCACCATGGCGGTGTTAATTGTGGGGAGAAACCCCCCGCGCCGTTACGTAAATTTGATATCGGCACCGTCGGGAGGTGACGTCGGTGGTGATAAACGCCTGTGACCGGCGCTGAGGATCGATCTTTTTTGATGAGATTCGCCGGAGGCATCTGGAGCAGCGGCGTTTAGTGGATGGGGGCGACGACAGAGAGCACTGGTTACTGTCAGACACGGACAACTTTGACATACGAGACCGTCGGCCTGTGTCGATGTCAGCACGCAGATGGAATGTTACGGAGATTGGAATGACTCCCGTGTCGGGGCCGGATCACAAGAGCTTTGTGGCGTTGGCGCGCGAATCTCGATCGGGCAATTTTACACGCGCGAGATCCGTAAACTTTAACGCTCCAAGCTCGCTCCTGACCGTCATTGGTGGGGTCTGCGTCACTTGATCAGCTTTCCACATGAACACTCTCCAGAGCACCAACGCTGCGATCTTCGCGGAGAGGCAGCGCCGGAGACGGGTATTGCGAAGAGCGAGGAAAGGCTTGGGTGGGCGGAAGAACGATGGTTGTGTTTCGCGCAGGCAACTTTTCGCCGGAAAGATGGAAGGTTCTGCGCGAGAGCAGTCGAAGCTCCGACCAGGGAGCGGCCCGTCGGCGAAGGACAAGAAGGAGACCCTGACGCGCTCCACCCTCGGGCGAGTACCGCCCAGGGTCCATGTGGGCAGACCTCGTCAATTTTCCTTTTGCGACGGGCTGTTCCAATTCTCCAAGGGCACTCGTTTGGATGTGATGTCATCTCAGATTTGACAAGGCTCGCTTCCGCGCTTCGGCCGTCGCAAGCGAGAGAAGTCGCACCCTGCGTCCCTTATAAAGTCTTCCCCACCCACTCCATCTCTGCGCTCTCCCCACACTTCGCGGCAGGCAGAATCGCTCAGCCCAACCCTCACCCCGCACGCTTCGTGATATCCATCCTCGACATACCGGTCCCGTGACCAATCTATCACGATGGCTCTCTTCTATGCGTGAGTGTGCCTTGACGTTTCACCAACGCTAGTGCACTGACGCACTCTCGAATGCAGGCACGGTGTGCCAATAGGCTACACCGCGATCATGCTCGCCTTGCTGGCGTCCATGGGTGGTGTGAGTACCTCTCTCACCCTTCGTGGGATCCGCAGCCCCTCACACGCGCCCGCAGTTCATCTTCGGTTACGACACCGGCCAGATCTCCGATATCCTGCTCATGGACGACTTCCTGCTCCGCTTTGCTACGTGCTCAGACAGTACGAATGCGGCGACATGCAGCTTCTCCAAGGTCCGTGAAGGCCTCATCGTCTCCCTTCTCTCCATCGGTACCTTGGTCGGCGCCCTGCTCGGCGCACGGTATGTTCTTCCGCTTCCTTCGCACCGTGCGCACGAGACTGACGTATGCCGAAACACAGGACAGCCGACTTGCTCGGTCGTCGCCGCGCAATGACCGCCGAGTGCGTCGTCTTCATCGTCGGCGTCATCGTCCAGATCGCCTCCGCCCACGCCTGGGCCCAGTTCGCCGTTGGCCGTCTTATCTCGGGTCTTGGTATTGGCGCGCTGTCCGCCGCGGTGCCGATGTACCAGGCCGAGACGGCACCGCCGCAGATCCGCGGCTCGCTCACCGCGACGTACCAGCTGTTCATCACCCTCGGCATCCTCGTCGCGTACTGCATCTCGATCGGCACCCGGAACATGTCCGGCTCGGGCTCGTGGCGCACCGTCGTCGGCATCGGCATCCTCTGGCCGCTCATCCTCGGCATTGGTATCTTGACCATGCCCGAGTCGCCGCGGTGGCTCACGGCCAGGGGCCGCTACGACGAGGCACGGCTCTCGCTCGCACGCTCTCGCGGCATACCGCTCGATGAGGCAGAGCACAACAAGAGGATCCACCGCGAACTCGAGGACATGCGCACCGCGATCGAGCACGAGACCCGGGTCAAGGCGGGCTTCGTCGACTGCTTCAGGCCCCAGCGCAAGCAGCTCTACCGGACGCTGCTCCTGATGGCGCTCCAGATGTTCCAGCAGCTGACGGGCGCGAACTACTTCTTCTACGTGAGTCTCTTGCGGTGACTACTCCCCCGGCACCTGTAGCTGACGACACATCTGCACAGTACGGCGCGACCGTGTTCCAAGCGGTGGGCATCAGCGACTCGTTCGTGACCCAGATCATCCTCGGCGCCGTCAACTTTTTCTGCACGTTCGGCGGCATCTACATCATGGAGCACTACGGGCGGCGGCTGCCACTCATCATCGGCGGCGTCTGGCAGTCGGTGTGGCTCTTCGTCTTCGCGGCGGCCGGCACGGCCAAGAACCCGCAGGAGGACAAGACGATCGGGAACCTGATGATCGTGTCCGCGTGCCTGTTCATCCTCGGTTACGCGATGACGTGGGCGCCGGGCATCTGGATCCTGACGGGGGAGACGTTCCCGACGCGGACGCGCTCGTACCAGGCGTCGCTCGCGGCGGGGAGCAACTGGCTCTGGAACTTCCTCCTCGCGTTCTTCACGCCCTTCATCGTGGGCGCGATCGAGTACCGGTACGGCTTCGTCTTCGCCGCGTGCAACCTCACCGGCGCCGTCGTCGTCTACTTCTTCCTCTACGAGAGCAGCGACCTCAGCCTCGAGAGCGTCGACATGATGTACTGCGACCCCGCGTGCAAGCCGTGGACGAGCGCGACGTGGGCGCCCGCGGGCTTCGCGACGCGCGACGACCTCGTCGAGGCGGACCGCGCGGCCGAGAAGCGCAAGATCCCCGAGGGGGTCGAGGAGGGCCGCGTCGAGAAGGTCGGCCAGCACGGCGCGGACGGCTCCTTCGAGACCTCGTCCGTATGACCAACTTGAAGCACATGCACACCTCACAAAACCCTGCACTCCCTGTACATCATCGAGACTTGGTTTGCACGCACACACGCATGCACGCTACATTCTGCGCCCACAGACCTCGCACCAATGGCCTACATCAGTAATGTACCACTATTAATACCCCCCTGCGTATACGACAGCGGCTGGTGCTCTGTTCTTTTTTTTTTTTTTCTATCTCTGTAGCAATATACCTCAGGGTTTGCGTCCGGTTCATTCACTGCCTGCTATGAGTGCACTGGTTCTAGAGCGGGCTCGACGCATTGGCCTGTCCACGGTCGACATTATTGTGGCGGTTAGAGACAGATCTCATGATACTGAGGGGAGCTTATGCTGTTCAGATTATATATTTTGGCAGGTTTAAGGCAAATAACAACGCTTATAACAAGTGACAAGGTTTGCATTGCGACCGACCGACATGAGAGGTTCACCAGTGATCATGGCCCCGTCATGCCCGGCGCGACGAGTCATGACACAACTTGGTTGCTGTGCTTGGCCGGGCCGGGCTTAGCCTCTACAGACAGGAATGCCAGAAACGACAAAGAGTGGATACAAAGGCACTATAGCCCGCATACCGCACGCAACTTCACGAGCATCTCGTCGTCGTGCTCCTTGCGCATCACCCCATTCCACTCCACACCGGCAGCAAACCTCTTTGTGTCCACCGTCGCAGGGTACCTGCTGTCGCCGTCGTCGCCCGCCCAATCAAAGTCGGTCAGCTTCCCACGCAGCCGCTCCGTCGCCCCAGAGCCCGATTCCGCACGCGACCCGGACACGCACATCACATTCGGCTGCCGGAGGTCGCCAAAGACAATGCCTTCCGCGTGCAACATCTTGATCGCAGCGTCGACGTCCTCGAAGACTGACCGTGGGAAAATCTTCTTCTGTGTCTCGATGAGATATTCCATCGACTCGCCAGGAAGGAGCTCCATCACGACCATGTACAGCCCTCCGCACACGAGCGAGCACGAGTACAAGTGCGGTGCGGGGCCTGCAGAGACCAGGAGCCGGTGCGCACGAGGGTTGTAGCGATCGGTGAACTTGACAAGTACCTCAACCCGCGAAGCAGTCGCGGAAGACGACGATGCAGAAGGAGCGCCAGAGCCTTTTGGATGCGGCAGGGTTGCGATGTATAGTCCCGAGCAGGTAACGTTGCTTTCGTCTTTGATTTCCCGATGCAAGAGGAAACGCTCCCCGCCTCGAGATAGCCTGCACCTGAATGCCAAGCCTTCGGGGTGTGGGTCGCCAGATAGGTACGTCGGAGAGGGAAGCAGGTGTGCGTTATCCCCCGACGGCGGCGCCGCCACCAAGGCAGCGTAATAATTACCGATTGCGCCGTATGCGGTCTTGACTGCCTTGAACGCCTGTGCGAGACGGATAATATGCGCATGCGTAATAAAGCCAGTGCGAAGCCGCTGCAAGAATGTGTCGCCATAGTACACGTCACCACCGATGGAAACGGCGCCGCCGATCTCGATGTAGTCGCCCATGAGCCCGATCAGGACGACTGGATGATGTGTTTTCATAGACCGCGGACCGTACTAATTGGGGCACATCGGTAACCGGGTCAGCACATGCGAACCACAATGTCAGCCGACATAATACCTCTGGGTCTGTGGCCACCTTCAGGTACGAAATCGCGGCTTGTAGGAAGGCGTCTCCTCTGAGGCCAAACTCGTTCTTGTTCTCTTGGACGATGGCTACGTGCCTCTGTCGGACATGCCACCGGAATTCGGGCAGTGCTCCGGCAACCGCTTTCCTCTCCAAAGCATCTGCCCCAAAAATCTCTTTCAGGGTGACTCTGATTGCGTTCTCCCGAGAATCCTCGTTGTCGTAGCTAAGTAGGCTGAGATAAATCAGGTTATGCACGTGATGGAGTAACAGTGGCTCTGGATCAAGCTCGGGCAGCTGGTCGTCCAGGTGGCAAAGGTGGAAATCGAGTCTGGCCAGAGCACGATTGTACAACGCAGGCGGTGGGCCGTAGTTTTGGGCCGGCCGACCGCCATGGATGGCGGTATCGCCGCCAAAGAGTGCTCCCCGCAAGCCCTGAGCGGTGCCAACCGAAGTGGATGGCGACGGGACAAGCTTGGAAAGCCTATTAGCTTGAGTTTCACATCCTAGGACGGTCGTCGGAGTCGAACAACAAGAGAAGAGAAGAGTGGCGTACTCGCGGCGACACGACCTGGATCAAATCGTATTTCGCCCAGTGTGTCTATGGCTTCCATGACTAGATTGTTGCCCGTGTTACCAACTGTGGTCGCGATCAAACGACAATAAGCGACGTACTCTCTTGCGTAAGCACAATGATATCAATCATCTCCTCCACAGGCGGCTCCTCGTCATGAGGGAACCAACGAGTCACTCTGCCCTTATAGTCAATCTGTTTGCCGGGATCTTGGAGGAGGCTAAGATTGGCTTGGACCCAGTCCTGTGCGCGAGAGAGCCTTGTGTCATCGGGATAGAAAGGCAAATTATCCGGCTGGTAACGCTTGTTAACATGAATATAAAGACTAGAGCACATGTAGATACTCTTAGGAGAATGACTTTGCTCAGGTCGACTGGCAGCGGAGAATCGGCATGTTGGAGGAGTTGTCGCATGGTCGTCTCCCGGGTAATCTCACAGACCACCGTGGTATCAAGCGGTTCGTCGGGATGCGGGTAAAACAGATAGAATACAGTCCTTGTCATTGGATGCCTTTCCACAGCCGTCTACAGAGCTTTGTAGACTAGATTTCAGAATAAATCGGACACGGCATCACGGCAGATCTTACTTGCCACTGTTTCGGTCTAAACAGCTGCGTTTGCAGACTCGAAATCTGGAAGGGGGGTCGGACCCCCCTTACAGACCAGATTCTACGTTTATAGACGTGATTTCAAACTCCGCATGCGTCGTTGCACTTGCTCCCCCACTTACGCCGCCCTCCGTCCTGCTAGATGTGTACAGTGATATTATAAATGTAACATATGGTATTGCCTGTCTGGCCTTCGGGTGAAATCGGGACCGAGGTAGGTATGTGGTGAGCTCGTCGACGTTCAATGTATACGGCGCGATTGGCCGATGACCAAGTGTGATGCTGCCCCAAAACGGTCCCTTGGAGCACTTCATTGGCAGCAGATTCATGCTCATCTTCCAACTGCTGCCAGAGCAGTGTTAAGTTAGGGTCTATCAGCGATACACAGAGCGAACGCGTCCACTCGAGTGTGTCAGCCCGCAGTCGCACTTTCGAACTCCGCTTACGAAGCGAAATATTCTGTTTCTTCGCTCTTGGTTGCTGTGGTTTTATAGATTGGTACCATTAGACCCTAGACTGTAGTTTACACTCCGCACTATATTCTGGAATCAGAAAAAACCCTGTGGAAAGGCATCCATTATAGCTGCAAACTCGGAGATGAAGGAAGTGGGGGAAGAAGAACGATGTCGACGCTCAAGCGCTCAGGGGTGTTGAACAGTTCGGAGTCTCAAATATTGCCACTTGTATCCTGCGGAGTGTGCTGCCGCAGAGTGGGGGCTAGTGTTGCCGGAAGGCGAAGGGGCCTTAAGCATAAGGCGAGGTAAGGTCACCTTAAGCCGATTTGTCAGCACCTTAAGACACCTTGAGGCAACTTAAGGTCACCTTATGTGACCTTCAATCAACGCTGCACGTTCGTTCGCGCATGCCAAATTGTGACTCCATACACTTCCTGCAGCCTTCCACCTTCGTATGTCATCCTCCTCTACCTCTTGCCCTCCTCTTGTCATCTGTGGCCCTCTGGTCAGCCTTGGACTGAATTTGAAAATTTTGGATATGTACATATGCCCTACAGTTAACAATAACATATTTTGTGCATAATGGCATCAAAATATTCACTGAAATCAATTAACCAAATGTGCCGCCGCCCGCCAAATCGACAGCATGCTCGCTGTGCTAGCCTCTTCCCTCGACATGGGTCCGAGCCCCAGTAACCCCTATCTCCCTATTGAGCACTTCCCCGGACCCTCTGTGCAGCAAGACCACGGCCGGCCGGCTTAGTGAGACTTAGAATTAGAGCACTAGAGTGTGACTGTGAGGCTTGGAAAGGCTTCCAATAGTACCTCATCTTTTGCTGCACTATAGAGTATACCAGAGGCCTTACGACTTGCAGAAGAGCAAGACTGACTTGAAGTAGATACAGAAATTACATTTATGATCCTGTCAGTCTCGAACCCGCAGCGCCCGGGCGACTTCAGCTGCTTGGGATACCGATAGGTTGGCACTACCCGATTCCTTTTTTTCATCATGTGATACTCACACAAAATTTGTAGGATGAAGAGGTGCCTTGGCTGAAGAGCAGGATGGTAATGACTCTGATTTGGATGAATGTAATTTATATTTGGATCAATGCATTGTGGCCTGTCTATAGTACAATGTTCTTCGTACCGTCCTTGCGCACTTGTCAGTGGGGTATGAGCCTACTGTTTAAGAAAGCCCATCAATCAGCCTTGCCTTAAGCAACATAAGGCCGCCTTACGCCAGACCTTAAGCTGCAATCTCAAGGCACTTAAGGCCAGAAACTCTGATGCCTCGAGGCCCCTCGACCTTGCCTTGCGGCAACACTAGTGGGAGCGGATGACTCCAGAGTCACTGGCATGTTTGGCATGTCATCAAAGATTTGAGGTGGCAGGTAGTGTTGTCGCAGAGTCAGAGCCTTCGTGAACAGATTGGAATCCACTCTGTCAGCACATCGGCATCTCACTCTGGACACCTCCAGAGTGACATGTGGCCAATCCAGAGGGCTCTGATGTCGCTCTAGAGTAGACACGTTGATATCACCTCCTGGCTCATCAGGTTCGCGTTACGCAACACTGCACAAAATAGGAAGTTATGCCATGGCATAACCTGAGCGTAACGTCTGGATTACACTCAGGTTCCTCCTGAATCATGCCCAGATTATGACATAGGTGAATCTTGTGGTAACTGCACAATTACGAAAGGAATACAATCAGAATTTAATGAAATTTTGCCCCAGCGTGTGTATATGCGTGCGCTGTGGCAGCTAATGGCACTGACAATGTGTTTGTCAAGGCACAGCAGGCTGGCCTTCCACTCGGTTCAGCCAACCACTGCGCGAACAGGCATTTCAAGGTTGACAGGCCACCTACTATAGCCATCTCCCCCGCACTTGCACACTGACAAAGAATTTCCACGTGTGCAGATGCCTGTTACACAACGCAAAGACGTGCGTGATAGTTTGGACATGTTGGGACAGCTGCACCGATCCTGGTACCTGCACCCCCACTTTTGCATGGTTTTGCACCTGCGTGGTTTTTCCTTGGGTTTGTACCCGAACGCAAATCGGGCCTTCTAAAAAGATCCGATTTGTACCCAAATGAGCTTATCCATGCCGAAAAATTAAGAAATTGAAACCTTGCCATTCCCCCACCAATTGCTGCCAGCATTACACAACCTGCCCTCAGCATTTGACAAGCTGTCACAGCTGGGACCTTTGTTTTCAGTCACAACCCTTGCGATGCTTTCCCCCAGACGTGGGAGTGGATGCCAATTGCGCCCAGGTAGAGACTGAAATGTGGCAACAAGGACGGGTACAGCGAAGATGAAGATGAGTTCAGGTGAGGGATGTAATAACAATGTATGCTCTGCATGACTCCTAAGCTAAAAAACCACTAGTCTCCTAGAAAGTGGGCTGATGTGCAATGACTGTCTAGACGTCTGGGACTAGAACAAGAAAGCGAAAGATGTCGTGCAACATGGTTTATCCCATGAAATGACACGCTGGCCCATGTGTGAGCATAGCCAAGGTCCCGAAGGAAGTGGGCTTAGATCTACACACCATTCGCTATTTGGAGGCTTGGCTCATGTATATTCTGACCATGAGCTCTAAGTTGCATCACTCTGCCGGAATGTATCAGTGTGCAGCCGGCTGCAGAATGACATGAAAGAGATGGAGCCGCGAAAGATGCGCAGCAAAAGGAAAGGAAGGACAAAGAAGTGCTACTGGATTCAAGGAGAGAGGTAGATTCTAGTTACAGGTTGGCCTATCCGCTTTTGGAGCTAACGGTATTGCTAGCTGTGCTGGCAGACATAAGAGCTTGCATTCTCTGGTCGCCAGTTGATCTCAGGCTTGTCAGGATTACCACATCCGCAGATGCAAACATCCCACAATTTGAGCAGGCAGACCTGGTGACCAGCAAAGTGCACGTTAAAGATGAGGAAGAAGTCCTTGCGTGAGAAAGTGTGGATACGCCAGGCATCGACAGTCTCCAAGCATGATCTCGCTGTTAATCCTGATGCATCGGCGCGACCTACCCGATGGTATGTCTCTATTTTGACTCATATATGCACCACGCTAACAGCTATGTGTGTTGTAGATGACGTGAAGGTCTGTCTATGCTGACTGTGCCTCCAACTGAATGTCCCCATCCTGACAAATACATGCTTATCACAGCGCCATCGCTCGAGGTTCTCCTCTCGCTCCATGTACGACAAAGCTACTTTGACCTGCAGCACCTAGGTAACGTGAAGGCTACAGCACAAAACGTAAGCAAGTGCTCACTGCAGAGCAAGCTGCAAATGGTGGCAGTGGGGAGTCAGTTACATGATTCGCACTGCAGTCCTTACCTACAAATCAAAGTCGACGAGGGAAAACTCACAGGGCTTGCCACAGACTTTATGGCTGAATTTGTGCATCGCGAGGCCACTGGTGGAATGCAGACAGAGGTGAAAATATAAGGGAGATGACCAATGTTAGAGAGATGGAGTAGAAGGATGACGGACGCCATGGAGCGTGCGGCAGCATTGGTGAGTAGACGCACCGTTTGAGTTCTGTGCACGTTGCCTCACAAGTACAGCTAAGAAATTGCAAACAGAAGACAGCCTGTTTGAACATACTGTATATTTGCTGGAAGGTGCACATTTGCTTGTCTATTCATGCAACTGCTGAAATTGGCATTGTGACCCAGATCGTTGTCCACATTCTCACCGCTTGCTGCAGCGTCGTCTGTCTCAAGACGTGCCCAACTCGATGCTTTGTTATCCTTCCCTGCACGAGACATAACCCTGTCAGAACTGGGTGATTATGTCATTGCCCTGTATGGGCTAATGGGAATACATCACATGACCCCCAATTATGTTGTAGTAATACGGACTAGATTACTCATGCTTACTGTACACGCTTACATACAGATAGTACCATAGGTCCCTTAGTGGTATTAGGAGTCCTGACTCTCATGTATATATACTGACCCTGTAGCACAGAATACAAAAGAGTTCAGTCACACTTCAACAGGTTATGAGCCCTGTCTAATGGCAACTCTAATCCCACTCTACTAGTCTCCATTGCTGAAAAAGACCTATCGGGAAACCTCGGTCCCCTTCTCCCCAGTTTAAAGAAAGTTTATTCATGCAGTTTACAAGTAAGTCTCATTGCATGCTAGTGGCAGACGGAGCGCTCACTGCATTCATTCCTGCATTAATCTAGTGCCAAAGGATTTGCCTGCTCGTCCCCCTCACTCTGTTTTCCAGTGGTATAAGCACTTCGCTGGCTATGCACCTGCCTCCGACAACACCAACGACCCCATCAAGACTGTCCTGTACGGTAATGGCCATGGCAAAGAACTACACCTGCTGACTCCAGTACTCACTCTCCTGTTCCCTCCGAACTCACACAAGGGCAGGCGCCTATGTTGCAAACAGTTCTGCGAGCGCTACGCGTCCGACAAGGCTGACTTCGAGCAGCATCTAGCTGCACGTGAACAGATCCTCGCCGGTCTGTCAAAGCTGACACTTGAGCAGCAACTTGCTACCATTCCACTGGCGACACACACGCCGATTGCTCCGAAGCCAGTACTCATCAACTTCAACAAACACACTCCCGCCGACCTTGTCTGCATTTTCACACTAAAGTTTGACGGCACGCTTAAACGCCTCAACGTCTTCGAGACTCTCGAGCTCGACGACCTCAACTCTGACAAAGTCCGCAATCTCTGCTGACTCATTGAGCTACTCACGCGCATCAAGCACTGTCTACCAGACATCTGCAACGTCATCAAGTACAAGGAGTGACGCAAGTGGGAATTAGGGTGTAGAGAAATAGAGGATATCTCGTTCAAAGGGCTACACAAGAACAAAGCCCAGATTGTACAAGTGCTCAGTGCAGTTTACATGAACGGATACTTCGATGTAATCAGGTTTTATGAATAGATACTTTGTAGTACAGCTATTGTAATAATCAGAAAAGGTTTCTAACTCAGAACTTGATCACTGCATGTTTATTCCTAAGCGACAACAAATGTTGTAGTTTAACTGGTTTCTTTGTTTAATCTCACCTCTATCCACCTCTCGGCTAAATCAGCTTAGCTGGGATAAGTGGTTTGCTCAACAGCGTTCATCATCAATACCTCTCAGAAGACAAATACAGTACCTGAAACCGTAGAGACAAAACAGAAAACTGTCACGGAATTCAGACAGCGACTGAATATCCAAGAAAACGATATACCTTGGGACTTCTTGACATATCATGAACAAACTGTTAAATTGTTCTTTCGTCCCGAGTACTTCAATTCCATAGAAGACACACACGGACCACCTTCCTACAACATGTTGTTAGAGCTAGAAAACCCTGACGAAGACATCATCCACTTGCTCTTCTCTACAACCTCTAATATGTATTCAGAGCCATACGCCTGTTATCTTAAGCAGGAAGATATCGAGGTCAATCTTTACTTCAGACCAATTAACTTTCTGGTCTACGATCTCACATTCTTAGAAAAAGATTGGGAATCACTTCGAGCATCATGAGCAACAACATACGAGCTCGATCTCAGTGAATTCTTTTACGAAGTTGTGTTAATACAGAAGGAACATGAAACAATCTACGCATACACTCGCCTCCTATACATACACGAAGATGTCATCCTCTTCTGACCCAACTAAGCTCGCCACCTCTACCATCCTGCAATTTGACAGAACCAACTACAAAAAGTGGTCCAACGCAATCCATGCCTTCCTACGCTACTAAGGCATTTGGTACCTGGTCCAGGGATATGGCTCTACAGTAGCCATACCAGTTCCTGGACTTGCCAGACCCACTCCAGTGACAGCCACGCCAACAGCAACGGAAATATCGGCACAAGCAATGTGGGATGAGAAGAATGATAAGGCGCTCGGCATCATCCAGCTCTATGTCGCACAAAACCTTTGTCATCTCGTCAATGATGAGGTCTCGGCCCTGGCCGCGTGGACCGCAGTCAAAGATGGCTACGAGAAACCCGGAGCGGTAGGCACATTTGTTGCCTTCCAGAAGCTGTTCAATGCACAGCTCTCTGACAGCTTCGCGCTTGGCCCTCAGCTGAACACACTCACTGAACAGGCCAACCAGGTCAATGCAGCAGGAATAGATGTTGCACCACAACTACTTGCTCTACTCATAATAAACTTGCTCCCCAAGTCATATCAGACCATTGCTGGTACAATTCTCACAACACAAGCTGACGTTCAGCTTCTCACTGTGGCTCTCATCAAGCCCAAGATCGTTGAGGAAGAACAGTGCCACGTTACGAACTGCACACAGATTGCACACGTCTCAAAGGTGCCTCTCCTCAAGAAGAAATGTGAGAAGTGTGGTCACAAGAATCACACGATAGAGCAGCACTGGAACATAAAGCCAGCAAATTCTGGCTCAAGTTCCGGAAATAGCAACAATCAGCAGCAGCAGCAGAGTGGAAAGCGCAAGAAGGGAAAAGCAAAGGGCAAAGCAAAGGACAATACTGCGATGACCACGCAGACTGTAAATACGATTAGAATAGTCAATGTACCACTTGTAGCAAAGATTGAGGAGGAATCTATCTTTGTTTCTCTTTATGCTATGGGTGTCAAGTCTAAGTGAATGGTCAACAGTGGCTGTACAATACACGTCATGCCATACAAAACTGACTTTATTCGGTATCATGAATTCCCTAAGCCTGGCCATGCACACATGGCCAGTAAAGGTCAAACTATTGAAATCAAAGGTCACGGTGAAATTGCTCTGCAACATTGTCTCACAGATGGACGAATTCAGTATATCTGGTTAGAAACCATACTATACGTACCGGAAGTGGCAGAACAGTTCTTTGCACCCAGAATGCCTCTCAATAACAGTCATCGTATTGAGATGGATGGCGAAACATTTACTTTGCTCTGCGGGTCAGACCCAACTAAGCGGACGGTTTTAATAGAAGGCGAATATGAACAGTTGTCAGGTTTATATTGGCTAGAAGCTGAAGTCCTGACCAGAACCAGCGAGATTAAGCCAGGAACACTTATGTTGGTTAAGTCCGACGATTCATATACTTTGTGGCACTGTCACTTTGGGTACGCTGGGAAGAAATCAATTATACAACTTCCTGGCAATGTCACAGACATTCCAGACAAAATTTCAGCACCAACCAGGGATACTCCCTGTGATGGATGCGAATTCAGGAAGTTTCGTCACAATGCATTTCCTGCATCTGATAGTCATGTGGAATACTCCCTCGACCTCATTCACATAGATCTTGTCGAATATCCGTTATTATCCCTCGATGGATACAAGTTTGCCCTAACCACCCTTGATGACTATTCCTTTTTGGTTTGGTCTGGTATCTGAAACAAAAGTCTGATGCCTTCTCTGCCTTCAAGCAATTCCTTGCTTGGGCGGAAACACAGGCCAAGCACAAGCTCAAGACTATACGTTCAGACTGTGGGAGAGAATTTTTAGGCTGTGAATTCAACAATTTCCTTGCAGAACATGGAATAGAGCATCAACTCTCAGTGGCGCGAACACTATAACAGAACGGCAGAGCAGAGCATTGGCAACAGACCATTCAGAATAAGGCAGAAGCTATGCGACATCACGCTGGCATGATGTCTGGGTTCTGAAAGCTAGCATCAGAGACTGCAGTACATATATACAATTTACAACCTCTGCACTGTCATCAATAGAAGCCACCCATCATTAAATGGAATGGTACTGTTCCGGACGTATTGTACTTTCGAGTATGGGGCTGCAAAGTCTATGTCCACACACATAAGGATGCGAGGGTCAATAAACTGCAGCCAAAAGCTAAAGTAATGATCTTCGTCAGGTATGAAATCAGTACAAAGGGTTACTGATTCTAGGATCCAACTGCCCGGACCATTGTCGTGTCACGCAATGTCACTTTCGATGAGTCTTCCTTTCCCAAGCAAGATGAAAGACCATGTGAGCTTGGAAGTTCTCAAGATCCAATTCCACCTGTCCTACCTGAACTGCCGAACCCAGACCTAACCAATCTGGATGACTTCACACCTGATAATCAACCCCCAGATGATGCACATCCACTACCGCGAGAAGAAGAACCGCAACAACAAAATGATGACAAAGTCGACAATGATCCTGATGATCACTATCAACAATACCAGAGCCCAACTCCAGAACTATATTTCATTCCCAGTCCTCCAGGAACACCTCCACTACAGAGAGAACAATATCATCCTCGTCAGAGCAGACCAGCCGGTCCATCTCGTCAGGCTGCTCCACCGGCACCTGATATTAGGCAACGATGGAATCTCGAACCACAACCTGTGCCATATCCTGCCAGGCCACAGTGCGAGAATGCAGGCCAATGCCATGTTCCTGACAACAGCTATGGAGACATCCCACCTACAGAAGCGTGGTGTCAACAGGAACAAAACGTCCAACGTGATCACTCTCCCATGAACATCGACGATGAACTCTGGCGGAATATCTTCTAATGGATTCATCATGCTCACCAGCCTGACCCTACTATGTACCGCGAGGCAATGTCTCACCCAGATGCGAAACAGTGGGAGATCACGATGTTAGAAGAACTCAAGTCTCAAGAGGAGAGTTTGACTTGGATTCTGGTCAATGGACCAAATAACCGGAGAATAGTGAAATGCAAATGGGTTTATGTAATCAAGCCTGACGGCCACTATAAAGCATGTCTCATGGCTGAAGGTTTTACCCAGATAGAGGGGATAGATTTTCAGGAAACTTTCTCTCCCGTTGCACGCTATGAGGCAATATGCTTCTTACTTGCACATGCCACACTTGAAAATTGGGAAATTGAGGCAATGGATATCAAAACAGCCTTCCTGTATGGCGAGCTCGATGAGGAGATTTACATGGAATAACCAGAAGGATTTGTGAAGAAAGGACAAGAAAAGATGGTGTGTCGATTAAAAAAGGCAATCTATGGCTTACGCCAAGCCTCACGCACCTGAAACAAGAAGCTACATATTACGCTACTCGAGAATGGATTCAAGTGCACACACTCAGACACTGGCGTTTATGTTTATCATTACGACCAAGTCAAAGTTTACCTCATCGTTTACGTCGACAACCTTCTACCAATGGGTCCAAGTTTACCTGAGATCAAATGAGTCAAGCAAGTCCTCGCAGAGAAATTCCAAATGCAAGATCTTGGAACCACTAGTACATTCCTTAAAATGCAGATCACTTGTAACTGAACAAACAGGCATCTGGAAATTGACCAACAGTCGTATACTGAAGGAATCCTATCTAGGTTCCAGATGCACAACTCAAAACCTTGCCGCACACTGCTGCCCAAAGGCATACATCTCGAGAAGTCCACAGAAACATATACTGCCACTGACGCACTCTGTCATCACTATCAGTCAATGATTGGTAGTCTCATCACTTGATGATTGGATCACAACCCGACATTGCCTGGGGAGTCACACGACTCTCACAGTACATGCAGAATCCTATGTCACAGCATGTGGAAGCTATGAAGCACATCTTCTGGTATCTTCGTCATACCATCGAGTATCGTATCTGGTACTCTGGCTTAAATCAGTCCGGTTTGATAGGGTATTCTGATGCAGACTGGGATGAGAATTGGGACAACCGGTGATCAACAACCGGTTTCGTTTTCTTGATGGCCAATGGAGCAGTCACATGGGCATCTCAGATGCAGAAGACAGTGGCAAGATCCTCGATGGAAGCCAAATACATGGCACTCTCGGAGGCATGCTCTGAGTTAGCCTGGCTAATGTCACTCCAAAAAGAGTTAGGTTACTATCCTACTGCACCACCACCTCTGGTAGCAGACAACCAAGGAGGAATCTTTCTCGCAGTCAACCCCGCTCACAACTGAAGACTCAAGCACGTCGATATCTGATATCACTTCATATGCAAATACGTAGAAGAGAAACAAGTGGAAATCGCATATGTCAGCACAGAAGAAATGATAGCAGACACGTTAACAAAACCTCTCGGTGCTACAAAATTTGAGTGCTTCCGGTCTATGCTAGGCTTAACGTTCAGTAGATTAGGCAATAACTAGTTGAGTGGAAGTGTCAGAACTGGGCGATTACGTCATTGCCCTATACAGACTAATGGGGATATATCACATGACCTCCAATTATGTTGTAGTAATACGGACTAGATTACTCATGCTTACTGTACACGCTTACATACAGGTAGTACCATAGGTCCCTTAGCGGTACCAGGAGTCCTGACTCTCATGTATATATACTGGCCCTGTAGCACAGAATACAAAAGAGTTCAGTCACACTTCAACAAACCTCCCAACCCTCGCCCTTGTGTGCCTCAGTGTTGCCTTTGGTGTTCGTGCTCGCACCTAGAAGTTCTGCGCTACTGGCCCCTTCTTCGTCTTTGTCTGCAGCCGGTCAAAGAACGCGCGCCCATTGTCAAGAGAGATGCCAACGAGCCTGCCAGGCAACCAGGTCTCTGCAGTCTCCTGCAGCGTCCAAACACGATTGAACCACTGCCGGTCGGATTCGATAGCATCAGGAGATGTGGTAATGGGAAGTCCAAGGCCGTTAAAGTATGTAACACAGGGTACCCACTGCGCCTGCTCGCGATAGACGTAGCCAATAGTCGGTATATCAACCCTTTACTCCTCTAATCGCACTGCCTCGTCGGAGTCGCGACTCTTCTGCCGCAGACACAGAATATCCATCCAGACGTACTCAGCTCCCATGTTGAGCAGCTCGGCGCGAACATGCCCGAGAGTCGTGGCGCGCGGGGAGTGGGTACCGGCCACTGGTGGCCATTGATGTTCGTCCATACGTCGACACGATCTTCATCGGCAACCCAGCTGTGTGATACTGTCCACAGGCCATGGTATAGTGATTCATAGCTCTCCAAGTCATCGCCTGAAAGGACGTGATATGGAAGTACTCGGTTGCTGAATAGGTCCCACACTCGTCGCGGCAGGAGCCGAGAGTCCGAGATGTAAGAGCTTTTGTGAACGGTACTTCGGCGCTCTGCGTCCTTCCGCTCGGCGGATATCAAAGCCTTTTCCAGTCCCTCAAAATGAGCGGGTGACTGTTTAGACATATATGCCTGCCGATCCCTGCGCCACCATGGACGCACTCGGCCGTGGACCTCCCCGAAGTCGCGTGACTCTCTGACGGCATGCTCGAGAAAGTCCCGCAAGCCTTCCTCCTCAAGCACGTAGGCCGTGCCCATCACGACATTAAGGTACTGGAGAGTGTTCGAGATATTCGCATGTGGCATGTCCGCAAGGTTATCTGGGATTGCACCTGGGCCAACATGGACCCACTGGAGAGGAACAGGGGAACGAGATGCCGGTCTAAGCGTGTATCACTTGCCGTCCCTGAGGAATCTGAACAGAGCCTCTTCAGGGACGGCCCGCGACTGAGCAAACTGACAAGGTCCCCATATGTCCATGCGGTGGTCTTGGTGGCCGACAAAAATATGTCTGTGAAGCCGACTAGCTTCGCTTCTTCTGATGGTGAAAATCTTGTCGTCTCTGACATCTTCATCCCAAGGGGGTCTCGCGAAAATGAACGTCTCTTCCGACTCCTCTAACTTGAAGCGCATCCCCTTCGACCAGTGCATCGACCGTGCCTGTATCTCAAGCATGATCGTCAGTATGCTCAAGTTACATCACCAAAGTGGGCTCCCGGAAACTGACCGAAAGGTTTTTGCGAGCTCCGCTGGAATCCGTGATTGTACCTGCTAGCGCCACATCGTCCACGCGCGCAGTTTGCCCGGCAGTCGCATGCACGACTTGACGCGTGGAGATGCCGCTCACAGGCTCCCCTTCAGACGCATGATCTTCGAGCAGCTCATCAGAGGCGGGAGCGGGTGAGACTTCAGCGCTAGCAGCGGTGGCCTCCCTGTCGTTCACACGCGGCTGTACTTTCATCGCCTACACCACAATGTGCATTGTCGAAAACACTCAGCGCGATATACTCTGGTACTGCCAACAAGACCACGTACCAACTGGTCGCGGCCAGACGCAACATACGCCTGTCGTTCAGGAGCGACTGTCTCGCGTGCTCCCCGGATCCGTTTCTGTGAGGTAGTGTCAAGCCTCCTTGGAGGGCAGGCAAACGACAGGCCGCAAGGCGACGCACCAGGAGGCTGCCAAGTCGAAGGTTATTGTGGCGCGGTGGAGAGGAGGTAGGGTTCCTGTCCGTTCGAGCTAAGATCTAACCAGCTCACTTGGGTCAACGTCGGATCTAGCGCAGAAAGGTGAACTCACAGAACTGGCACGCCCTGAGACCCAACTCTGAGAAGCATGATGTTCAGTTTCCCAGGGCAGACAAGTGGCAGGTCACAACCCGACGTACCGGAAAGCTCCTAGGATGAGAACGGCTACTACGAAGCAATCGCGTAGAAGGGAACGTGTTGTCCTGAGACGGAACCTGGCAAAGGAAACTCTATAAGTATTAAATCTCGTGCATTGTCTTGCAAAGCCGTAAACCAATAGAGCCGGTGACATCCTGCCTGTCCTGTTCACCGTGGCTGGATTTTATATCGTGTCCTTGCATCCTATCTGATCCTTTATCTATCACTGACAATACCCTCCGGTCAGAGACAGCTTCATCGATCTAATGGAACGTGACTGACTCAGCGGTATCCAGAGTCTATGAGCCTGATAATATGAGAGAGAAAGTTGTCCTCAACAGTGTGCAACAATTGGGCCACGTAGTAGGTGGTGCAGACGAGAACTGTCAAAAGTTGCGCACACGGAGGTGCAAGGCTCGAGAGAGAATGCTTGTGATGCGCGCATGTCGTACGCACAAAGACCCCGAACACTTGAAAATTAGCCGCGTACTACACGCCCTGGGTAGGAAATTGAAATTACTCGCAAAAGTTCGGAATAATCAAAATAGTGAGCAATGGCTTTTGAATACGCGAAGCCCTTTCCTGCAAGCGATAGCTAGCGTCGGTGCGGATCCTCGGGGAAGAGCGGGTCGCAAACGTTGGCGGCATGGAGCGTCCGGCGGGCGGGGAGTTAGCCGACAGCGTGCAGCGATAAGAGACAGATGCCACAATAGTAGTCTCATGAGTACCACCAAGGATTCGCGAACAGAGACAGCCTGTTCGAACATACTTTACATCCGCTGGAAGGTGCGTATTCGCTCGTCTATTCGTGCGACTGCCGAAATTGACATTAATTTGCGACCCAGACGATCGTCCGCATTCTTACCTGCCTACGGTATCGTTTGTCCCTATCCGCTACACTGTGATCATGCTTGCCTTGCTGGTGTCCATGGGTGGTGCAAATACCGCTCTCGCCCTTCGTGGGATCCGCAGCTCTCACGCTCCCGCAGTTCATCTTCGGTTACTAGTACGACTCCGATATTCTGCTCATGGGTGACTTCCTGCTCCGCTTTGCTACGTGCTCGAACAGGACAAATGTGTCGATATGCACCTTTTCCAGGGTCCGTGAAGGCCTCATCGTCGCATTACTCTCCATGGCCATCGGTACTTTGATCGGCGCCTTGCTCGACGCAAGGTATGTCATTCCGCTTCCCTCGGACCCTGCGCGAGACTGACGATGTTTTGCCAAGACACGTGCTTCCGTGTAAAGAATACTTCAGCAAATCCAAGAAGCATCGCACAGTTCCGCTCCCCGTATCTCGAGCTGTCAGACGGCCTATTTCTTTTGCAAAGTACATGACGAGCTCAAGGACCGACCTAGTCAATATGCTTGGACTTGGAGAACTGTGCGCGGAAGTCGCCCCGACCTGCTTTCATCATCATGAAAAATCGCCAACTTCCGAGCTCTCATCCCAGTTGATCTATATCCAGACAAACATCGCGGGGAGCTCATGCTGAAGGTCCGAGTGCACGATCCCACTCTGTACGCCTATAAGTAACATGCCGCCGCCAGCGTCGAGTATCTCAGTGACGGCGAGATTACCAAACGCGGCGGACGCGTTTACTCTAGCGCCCCGCATCCTGTAATTTGGCCGGGGGCCGCCTATCGTTCTAAGTACCGCCGTAAGTCCTCAGTTAGTGGCCCCCTGCAGATGTTCGCTGAGCGGGAGGACGATAGAGTCAAGGCAGTGCGGAAGGACACTTCTCATTGACGTCCAAAGCTTGGTCTTATACATAGATATGCAGCAGCCCAGTAATGTCATGCTCACTGCTGGCTCAAGAGTCGGTATCGGTGCGGATCGAGAAAAGCAGGTCGATAACTCACCCTCCGTCCCCTCGAAACCAGTTTGGGATATCCCTTCGCAGCCCGGTCGTCGACAGCGTTGCAACTTTTCCTGTGCAAGTTCTGTCCATATTGCGGGTCCTTGTTGTGGTTTATGGCTAAGCAATAGTTTTGTTCGGCAACCTTTTGGTGGATCTGGACCTGATAGGCTTCGTTTGATGGGATTCAACTCCCTGAGGCCTGTTCGCGATGCAAAATCACGGTGATTTTTTTGTGCCACCGCTGATACACGAAGCTAGGTTATGGAGGCTAAGTTCAGCGGCTGCCACGCCGATGAACTTATCAGCCAGCTCGTCAAGCTACTGTATGGGATGTAGAGGAGAGGCAACCTGGGTGTGTGTAACTGTAGATAGCAGTATATCTGGGTGTACCACAATTTACGAAGATGAGAAAATTGCGTAGATGGGGGTGCCTCACAGTCCAATACACCTACCGTGGTCTACGGAGTCGAGCGGAGTAGGTTTGAGTCAACCCGGGTAGATGTGATGTTCACTGGGCCCAGTGAGAATCCCACCTACCCGGCTGCACTCGGACCTACCAACGTATACGGGCGGAGACCGGAGGTTACCGATACCTACCCTCTTCGCCCTCTGATCTCAATTTTCGCCTTTCGCTGTTCAAGGCTTTTGTATACACCGGCTGTTCTGCTTTTATCCGTTATGCCGGGCAGTCCGTGGGCGAGCAAGTATCCGTTTGCAAGAAAAAACGCTTAAAGCGACACCTGTCAGTACTACCGGCATAATGTTACACACACATGACTCGCTAGTCTCGTAAACCATCTGCATCAGCAGCGCTCGGACGGAACCGAGCGAGACTGCGTCGGACTTCGAAAAACCGAAGTGCAGTCTCTGCTAGAGCGTCTGGTGACAATCGTTTGGGCGGGTGTGGATCGCGCGCACGTGACCTCGACGCGCGAGACGCGGCTCATTAAGAGCTAGGTGCCGGCCACGCACATCTCGCCTTCCACTCACTCTTTCTCTGCCGAAATTTTTATACACCCAGATACTATGCTCTATTAGTAGTATATCAAGCAAAAACCGCCTGACGACATCAAGAAATCGTAGATTATAATGTCAACCGCCGATGCTACTAGCAATTCCACTCCAGATAATGAATTCTGCTACCATGTCCTCAACGAAGCCCGCCGTAAAGCTGCAAAAGAAAGGAAATATGACTCCGCAGCATTTCGTGCAGCTTTATCTGCGAGAATCAATGAATTCTTTGGTTATCTGCCCCATGAATACCAGCTAGACATAGGCAAGGCTATAGAGCTTGGCCTCGACTGCATTCTCGTTGCAGGAACTGGAGCAGGCAAGACTCTGACCCTTTGTAATGAA